TGCAAACAGCCTGTCACTATTGTATACGGGCAATCTTTCGATCTCGCAACAGATATTATGAATATTTAATTTACCACCAGCCAATTTGATATCTAACCCACCATAAGCTTATTTTCTTACAACCATTGCAAATAATAAGGAAGAAATTCACTTGACTGTTTTTATATTCCTGGAAACAAAGTTCTAATTTCCAGGACAATCATAATTGAAATGAAAGATTTTGCGGCCTCGCTTTGTAATTATGTTGACTTGAAGATTTAGAATTTCCCCTTTTATTTTACTAAAGTTTTTCTTAAAGTCAATAAATTCAAAGAGTTTCTGTTATATTTACAATTTTAAACTAGAGCTCTACACCGAAGCGAAGCGAGAGCGGGCCACTTGTTCTCTATAAAGGACAACTTGTCTATTTTGACATTTTTAAGTGTCATCATCATCAGTTTGTAAACCACCAAGCATGTCCAGTATATTATGACTAATCACTAGTCATAATATACTTACAATAAAACAATGAATTAAAAAAATATGTGTGGATTTATAAAACCTCGATGCAAATGAAGCTTTTATAGGAACCTACCCTTAGTTGATGTAACTCTGGGAAATAAAAAGTGAAAAAATAAAACTCGGCATGGAATCGAACCGCCGCACTATGGAAAATGGTAGAACAACGGCACATTAAAAATCGTTTTTACTAATGTCGTTACTGCCGCACTTTAATTTTTTTAATGGTATAAGAGTGGAACTAATATCTCATGTAATAATTTTGGTTGAAATAAATTTGGAATATTTTTTTAATACGACATAGTGTCAATTCGAAAAATGACAATTTCAGGTCTGTTCACTTCATTATTTTAAAATTGATTTCTTTCAAAAATTTGTTGGAATAGATGAAAGCGTGAGCTTTCTACCACTGGAACAACAATGATGATTGATACGGTATAATGTGACATGATAAAGATGAAGGAAAAAAAATGTTTGATATGTAATAAAAGTTTCAGTTAAATAAAAAAAAACTTTTTTTTGAGTGTGTATGCTGTTGGTCGCAGCTGACCTATACAGAATCACCGGGGACGGTGAGATCCTAGGGGACCTCAAGCCGAGAATTGGCGAGCGCCTCTAGAGGTGTTTCAGGCGGATGGCATCTCCCCTCGGGGGAGTCTCCTCTCCATCTGGAGCCTATAGACCACTCGAACCTGAGAGGGTCGGCTCAACTAGAGAGTGTCTCTGAAACTCGGACCTCGGCTCTAGTTAGCCGTTGTCGTGGGGGCTAGTACTTAGGAGTTCTAGTTACTGAGGTGAGCTGCGGATGGAAGTTTGGACGGACATACCGAAACTATTGATTGATTACGACACCCTAAAAATTATAATTATGATTTAATCGAAATTCTTAATTTCTTCATGAAAAATTAATAGGACACTACTGAAGAAGGGGACACCCTCTTCAGTAGTCCTTATTAATTTTTCATTCGTTCAGGCATACCTAAATAACCATGAAAGTCGAACAGCGAAGTAATGTGAAAATAAATGAACCGCCTCGACAGCGGGGTGATAAATGAACTAAGTCACTCGAATAGTGACGGATGGACAGCCGGTAGACATTAGCAGCCGCTCTTATGTTCCTCGTCGTTTGTCACACGCCCCTAATTAATATAGATCTGTTTTAATAGAACTCCTCTGAACATGTTCGCCCTTTGTGATAGGAAAAGACGTAAGCTCTTACATCACGTCCGTGCGTGATATGTTACTAAATCGTCGAGAGAAACGCTTTGGTAATGACTTGCTGGTAAGAAACGGTTCATTAACTTTTTTCTTCTTTATCAATTGTCACGAGTTTACTAAAAATATATCTTGCAGGTTATATTAACGGAATGCAAAAGGATCACTTTTTCAAGCACTATCAAATAAATTGATTCACGACCCACTTGCTCGATAATTCGCGTGAAAATGTCTTAACAGACAAGTTTTCTTTTGTAGAGAATACTTTTGCTCGTAGGATCTTCTAATAATAAGGAAACTATATTAAAATGGATCATTTCACATTTGTTTTCATTGCAACACAACTTCATAACGATTAAATTAGAATAGTGGTTTGAATTTCGAAATAATTTTTAAAATCGTAAATATACCAGAAACTCTTTTAAATTCTTGAAAATAAGAAAACACTTTGTGAAGCCATTATGGAAATCTTCAATTTCATTTCTTCATTCAATCAAACAGAGCAACGTCACCGTTGTGTTACAGAGAATCGTTAAAATCTGTCATGTCAAATATGATTGATCAGAAAATAACAAGGTTGTTTCCAAGGATACGTGCATTTACGTTTTGCAATGGTTGAAATAAAATAAGTTTATGGTGGGCCAGGAATGAAATTGGCTGATAGTATATTACAAATGGCATACGTCTATAGCTAGTTGCAGACCGAAAACTAAGCTATTCTGAAGCTAGGCTAAGCCAACTAAGATAAGTTAAGAAAAACTAAAAATATGTCCCGTGTACACCAAGAGCTAAACGAAAGCTTAGTCAGTGTTGCGAAGGTCATTTCAACGGACGTCGCACGCCATGAGAGAGACGGACACCTTAGCATTCCATGGATTCACCGCGAAGGTGCCGGGTCCATCGTGTGGGAGACAGAGAAACTCTGAGCAGTTCCCAGGACTTGCGACCAAGGTGTTGGTGTAAGGAGGCCCCCTTTGAGATGCGTATCAACGCTCACCTTCACTGCTCGAGTTGCCCGCCCTTCCTAGCTAAATTTGATAGGAGTCTGTTAGTGCAGCCTTAGTTACTCGTTCCAAAATTGAACTTATTGCAGTTCTCGATAGGCTGAGGTCTTTTAGAAGGTTGTATAGTCGTTGAAGAAAGTTCTAAAGATCAATACGTGACATATAGAAAAGAAGATTAACTTATTTAATATCTAAAAAGTCATTCTAGACTTTGGCTATGTCAACACATTCAATCGCGGGAGGGGCTTGCTTAGCTCGCGTAGCTGCGCATCGACATACACCGATAACTCAGCTTCGCATATTATAGGTAGCTGACATAGCTTAAGGCACTATACCACGATCTGTGTTGTCGCGGGCGAGGTATTATCACCTCGTATCATGCATAGATATGGCTAAATCTCGAACGTTAGAATCTCATACGTTGTGCAACCTCGCCCTTGACATCACAGATCGTGGGACAGCATCTTTAGTTTGCAGCCTGCACACAGGTATGAGGAGCTCGATGGCGCAGGTGGTTAGCGCGTTTGGCTGCGATCGTTGAACTTAAGCAACTTTCGCAGTGGTCGGTCATTGGATGGGTGACCAAAAAATCTTCTATCTCGTGTTCCTCCGTGCTTACACGTTAAGCCGTTGGTCCTGGCTGGATCTGCAGTTGTTAGCACCCGCCAATCCGCACTGGGCCCGCGTGGTGAGTCTTAGTCCAATCTCCCTATAGCATCCATATGAAAGGCCTTTGCCCCAGCAGTTAATTTACATTAATAGGCTGATGATGATGATGACACAGATATGAACACACTCTTGGTCTGCAACCCGGATAAACGGCTTGGGACTCATGAAGCCCGTAAGTACACTAAGCGACAAGAATGATGCCACAAAATTTCAAAAATCGCACTCCGTAGCCTTTTTAGAGTGTTTTACTAATGTATTTATGTATAAGATCACAATGAAAAAATAAGAAATCAAAACAATAAAACTACGTATACTGGTAGTGCATAATTATTACTATAGGTACATGTAGTTATGAAGATTAAATAACACTATAGTTGTATGAGTACAAGTACGTATTTATTTAAGTATCTACTAGTATACTCCTAGAATAAGATGTAAATGATACCATAAACTGGTTTTTCGTATTGCAATGTTGTGGCGTTTTTGTCAAGTTGGTATGAATGGATGCTATTAACTTTCCATTAGTCTTCTACAAGGTTGGTAGCAGGGGCATATTTTAAAATCTGGCGCCCAGGAGTAGCCATTAAAGAATTCCTTTTAGCTTCTGCCGCCCCTTGCAGCCTGCTGCCCTCTTGGCCCTAGAGTAAGCACGCCTTGGTTAGTAGGATGTCTCTACCTTACAGAAGACGACTTCGCGACATAAAACTCCGATACCAGACGATGTTGGTCTCCAAGCGACAATATTAATTCATTGAGGTCAAAGTTCAAAGATCTTTAATCCACACAAATACAATCTATATCACGGTGTGCGCAATTGAACTACTCCGAAACGGCTCAACCGATTTTCGTAAAATTTTGTATGCATCTTCAGTAGGTTTGAGAATCGGACAACATCTGTTTTTAATCCCCCTAAATGTTAATGTCCTTTAAGAGTGGACCGGGTGGTCGTTCCCCATACATTGAATGCCCTATAATGCACATATCATTGCAGAGGTTTTCAGAGTTCCACGGGGTAGGGGAAAGGATCAGTAGGCAAAAATCTGATAAAGCATGCGTCTATAGATCGGTAACCGCTTAACGTCAGAAGGCTCATAATGTTTATTCGCCATCCACTTTTTAAAAAAGATATGGCATCCATTTTACACAAAAAATTATGGAACAGAGATGTTCTCACCTTGCAATAATCATGATGACCCACCATTTGTTGTTTAGCATTTTTAGAGTTTGTAACGAGGTTCTTCGGAGGAATTTCCATCAAAAGAGACATAAATTTATGCTGGCTCCGCTCGTGCCGAGAAATAATGGCTTGATTCATTCCGTGAATTCACATCAGTGGTGATGATTGTCTACGTGGAACCTTAGCATTTTTAGGGTTTGCAACGAGCTTCATATCAAAATAAATTTTCATTAAAATAGAAATAAACATATGCTTGCTCCACGCTTATGCCGTGAAATAATGGCGTGACTTCGCGCCGTGAATTTCACATCAGTGGTGATGATACATTGAACGCGCGTGAATCCCTATTCACGCCTACTCACGGAGCTTCACGGCACAAGTGTAGAGCCGGCATAATGATAAACATTTTATAAATTGATTAAATGAAACAACATATTTACCCGTCATAAAAACCATCGATAAGTATATTTACATTTTCTCAATATTTACATATATACATGTCCAATCTCAAGTTTACAATAATTGAATAATGGTATATACACGAGTTGATGTACCAAAATTAGTACAATAACATAACAAATTCAAACAACAAACGAAGTTATTATATAGATATGTAAGTTTAATATAAAGTTTATGATTGCAAAATTTTCATGGTTAATTAATTGATCTTAATACAAATGGTGAAAAATCTCTTATGTATAAGTATTGAAACAGGTCTGCTACGTTAAAAAAAATAAAAAAAAAATATTTAGTAAAGCTAATAAAGATAAGCTCTCCAGAAATCGTCTTTCCTTTAAAGAAGTACCGTAGGTAGAAAGAAAGGCTAAAATATATAAGATAAATTATTAGCAATAAGAATAAAAGAGAGCATTACTAAAAAAATCTCAAAACGAGAACAGTTTTTCTCCCTACTACTATAGGGACTCATTAAAACCTTTTTGTTATTTTTTCCACCAAAGAGGATTTTCACCTTTTATAATAATTAATTCAAAAATACTATTTCTTAGGTCCCGTATTGCAATAATGATTTACAAGCACGCTAAACTCGTTTATAAAATAACATTTAACATATACATCACAACTAAGCAGTTGAACAAACTCTTTATAGAATAACTTTTTAACATAAATTATTTATTATATTCTGTAAGACATTTTTCATCGTCATTTTAGTATAAAGAATAGTACTTAACGGCATCCGACAGCTAAGTAGAATAATAAATCTACCTAAGATAAATTTTAATCATGTTGTTATCACTAGTAGAAAATATCGAGTCTTCTCTTTGAAATTCATACAAACGCACACAAACCAAAACAAATTTTGTGCGATCTAAAAATGTTTAAATTCAAATATCATTCTGGAAATGTTATTTCCTAGTATGAACATAACGAGTAAATCAACTGAGATAATAGTTAACAATTTAAATCATTTTTTTTAACTTTGACGCTGAAATTAAACATGCGTCCGTTTTAAAATAATTCTATTCAAAATGTATAAATTCTTTCAAATTTTCCATCCCTTACAAAACAGAATCCGATAATACCTTTTATAATTATTATACTTTAATATATTCGGGGATCTCATTTCCTCATCATTAAAACTTCGATCTCGTATCGTCTGACAAAATAACCCAAATCCGAACGGGTATACCGAATATAATTATGTACACGTTATATTGAAACATCCATATATCAGTCTGCAGTGTAAACGTTACTCTACTACCATTGACATTAGGTTCGAATTGCTATGTTGGTTCTTCAAGTTGGGTTGCTTGCGAGTTTACCTCGCTAGCCTTCAGAGCTGTCGTGGAAGTGGTTAGTGCTACTAAGTCTTCGTCGACAGTCGCCAGCTGCGAATATTCTGTTTTGGGGTAAGGCGAATTCTGTTTGCTTCTTCTTGTTTTTAACTGTAAACAAAACACCAAAATATAACTCATCCATAGTAACTCTAGTTCAAATTTCTAAGAAATTTGTACAATTGAAAACTAATTTTCAAATTTGCGTGCCACACTTTGTACATCCACATCTTGAGAATTATTAGTCTCTCGTTTTGGAATTTCTATAGAAGTTACAAGTACTTTAAGCCAAGTAGTAGTATCTATTGTTTAGTGGAAATTCTAAACAAGATACAATTTGTCGAGGATTACTGGAATCTGAATAATTAATAAGAAAACTTCTCCATGTGTCTAGGTTGAGTCGTTAATATTTATACACTCAAGGACATTTGTAGCTGTATCGAAACCCCATCTCGGTCATTAACTTGTCGAACGAATGCATTAATAATAAAATCTAATCAAATTAAATTATATCAAAGTTGGGCTCAACCATATTTATTTACCAGAAATTAATCTTCGTAATCTAACAAATTACTAACAAAGGCTATTGAAAAAGAAAATATCAAAGTGATATCTTCATTAATGCGGTGGAGATGATGATTATCTGAGAATTAATTAAGTAGAAGTCGTCTTCAATTTTAATTTGCAGAAAAAGAGAAACCTTTACTATAGAAATGTGTACAGATAAATCTTAAAAATAAGTGTACCCAATTTTGACATTCAACGTCTGTTATATATTAATTTTAAAAAAAACAGTAACGAGATTTTTTATCAGAAATTCTTGACTTTGGCTTTATCGATCCATTGTGGATACTTATAATTTAACAAAATTGGTTTAAGTTTGTTTTGTAATCATCAGCATAATCGAGGAATTGCGAGCACGGAAAATTCGGAAGTTACGTCCACCTCACAAAAGACCACGGTGAAATAAAACCTGTAAAGCGACATTTACATGATGCAAGTTTCCTGCCTGTTGCATACAATTCAATTTAAAGCAATAAATAACTTGCACGGTCAAAACAGTACATCACATTCTTGATGTGGTATACAAGTTTTGCTTCAAAACGCAGAACCGAATTTGAATACTTTTTGGCTCATAGTATTGTTTATAAACAAACCCAGATCTTAAAACGTTCAACACTTTAATGAAATATTCACCCACGCAAACACGTGCAATTCTTGAAGCAACTGTCAAATAATTGGTATACGCACATACAAGTCTGTGCTTAGATATGTCAATACTTGAAAGCAATAATCTCCTTACAATAATTGTATTGGTGTAAAAGACATTTGCAATTCTTTCTTGTCCAGACTGGCATTCAATAATTGTATGCAACCTTTTTACTATGTCTTCGTGTAAACAGTTGCTTACAATTTTTGAAAATTAATTATTGCGCCTCATTAATTGTATGCAATTATTGCTCTTGTACGTGCAAGAAAATTGCATCGTGTAAATGGCGCTTTAGTCTAATATATTATCTTATGTATATATCTTCTCTTATTTTATATCTTTAGACTATCATTCATCAACGGAGGGGTAAGAGTAATTTCCTGTTCATCTTATAAAAAAGGCGCAAAAACTAGTTTGCATCTATGAAAAAAAAATGAATGTGAATGAGCGACGTGTGTAATGATCGTTCCTTGTAGCACTCTGCTTTCTCTGCCTAAGGCGTTAATATATGATTATAGTTATTTTTATACAAGGCGCAGCAAATTACTCCACCCCACATGGTGTTAAGTGTGGGTGAAGTGACGCGAAGATAGATGATGCGGCAGAGTGTGCCGATCAAGCTTTGCTCACCTTCCCAGCATCAACCTAATCCTCTAACCCGCGGAGTCCAGGAACTCTACTCACCAGGAGAAACACAACACCACCAAAAGGTAGTGTAGTTTTTTTTTTAATTATTCATGACCATGGATACAAGTCCTTCAGTCGTATACATTAATACAAATCTTAATCTCCTTTTTTACATTATAATGTCTGCGTGACGCATTCTAATGTTTCTTAGAGTGTTTGGCACGAAATATATCAATATACAATAAAGTTCTCACGTCCACTTGACCGAAATAGCATATATTTAAAAGATTCCACTAATTCTTCAGTTGCGCAGATGCTTGTAACACAAAATCACACCAATTTTCATGGTCCAATCTCCCTATTCAATCCATAGGGAAGGACTGTGCCACAGCAGTGGGGACATTATTAGGACGATGATGAAATACCTTTATGATAACAATCAGCCCGACGACTACAAGCAGTGTTGCACCGACGCTCCAAGCGACGAGCAAGTTGCGATCCAGAATGTTAGCTGACGCATTTTCATCATCGACGAAGTATGACGCCGTCACGTGTGAACGTACGTTCTCGGCAATCCGCCTTTTGCCAGCCGAAGACCCGTTGAGACAGCCACCTGAAAGAAATGATTGGTTAAAAAATGATAATAATTATTATTCTTAATAGACTCTGCTAGATTATGTTTTAAGAGATAGTAAATAGGAGCTTGTATCGGCAGCGTTGAATATGTACGAGGCAGAACTTATTAATTGAAGCAAGTGGTTTTTCTTTTGTTTTATGTCACGTTTTGATGTCACCAAAATATCATGTGAGCTTTTCCGATAAATTAAAAAGTAACATTAAAGAATAATCTTCATTTTAGAACTTGTACATGTTAATAATTAAATAAAAAAAAATTTGAAGAGTTCTATTAAAATATAAAATAAAAGAACTATTTTTGTGACCTACGTAGCCGAGGCTTTAAACAAGCATGCCCGACTTGGATTTCATCGCTACCTATGCGGTCATAATGTTCGATTCCCAGAAGAATTGATCTAAAGAATTATTTTCCATATTTTGTATCTCGAATCTGGATGATTAACTTCACAAGGCATACATGACCTGGTTTTAAATCAATCAATAAATATTTATAGAAATATAGAAAAGTACGCTATCATCGCAAAAAACACAAGTTCCTAGCCTAAGAAATTCTTACCAATATCTTTGTCACAATGACAACAGTCTGTAGTTTGGTTTGTACTCAGATAGAACGAGAGCATACTCTCAGTACAGCACGGCAAACATTTGTGGTTTACCCTGAAAATTGGAAGCAGCGTTAGGCATACAGACATCTATTGTTACTACAAACTGGCTTTAAGTCCTCTTTCGAATTGTTTAGAGAGGATTCTGACAAATCTTCAACTAAATTAATCGGTTCGTTACCCTGCTTTCTGTTCAATATATTATATAATTATATTACGAGTAAGTCCTTTCCCGGAACTTGGTGATAAATATATTTTTGGCTCTATTCTATAGTACTATTTGTCGTTTCAATTTACAGAGTATTATACTCAATAAAATTTGGCTTTCTCTTACTTTAATCGACAGCTGAAGTACGAGTTAAAATGAGTTAGTTTCTTAATTATCTTACCTATCTAAGCGGAGTGGATGTGCACAAGTGACACAACTTGTTGGTCCAGGGCCAGAGCAAGACCTGCATGAGTCGTGACACGGTCTACAAGTTCGCGTTCTTGGCTCATAGTACTGGGAACTAAGGCACTCCACGCATAAGCCACCTTCCAGAGAAAAGTGCGGCGGGCAGGAAGTACACCGCTGCGGCCCAGCGCCGTGACAATCCTGGCAGTAATGGTGACACCGACGGCAACTGTCCTGCCAGGGAAAGAAGTTCTGGGGACACTCCGGCCTACATTCCCCTGCTGCCAATCGCCAATCCGGCGGACACGACGCACACTGATCTCTTCGCGGGCCAGTGCACGTCTCACATGACAAGTAACACTTAGAACAAGTACCCTCGTCTGGGTAATACCCAGAAGCGCATGTCGCTCGACATGTTCCAGACTGAAGTCTTAAGGCACCGGCACACAATGTACAGTTCAGTCTTGAAACACAAGCGACACACGTGTGAGGGCATTTAGTACAATGGCCGGCCGTTTGGTAAAACCCTTGACCGCATTCCGCAACGCACCTTAAAACAAACAATGTGTGTTAACATTGTATTTTACCACACATATGTTCGAGGAAAAGGTCCCGCTTAATAAAGTGCCGTTACCTCGATCCCTGTAATAACAATGGGGTCGAACAAGACAAACAGTCCCACTCGTTTGGTCCACTACATTTCTCGCAAGTAGAGTGACAGTGTTTACACCGACCACCTTCGTGATATTCGTCTGTAAAAATAAAAATTTCAACATATAAAAAGCTGCTAGTAGAAAACAGAAATAATATTTTGTATATCGAGGAATACTCACTAGTGTCGCATTTGTCATTGCCATCCGGAAGACAATTTCCTCCTTTACTTATCATCCATTTATCTTTGCAAACGGAGCAGATGCCATACGCGCAAACCGTACAACCGATAGCACACCTTAAAAATAATCAAATTATTAATTTCAGTTCATGTGTAATATTTTATAGAAAACTGCGTAAGGTACTTACGGCAAGCATTCCCTCCGTTGCGTGTCAGCGTAATAATTGACGGGGCATTTTGAAACACAACGATTTTTTAAAGCATAGTCGCCGAGTCGACAGGATACACATTCTGTTTCAGTAGGTCCATGACATGATTCACATGATTCATGACAAGGAGTGCAACTGAAATCATCTTTCTGATATGTTCCAGGAGGGCAAGCCGCTAAACATGAGCCATTATAGAGAACATAATTGTGTACGCAAGATGAGCACATATCTGCTTTTTCTGAGCACGTGTAACAATGTTCTGCACATGGAAAACACGCACTTGCGTCAGAATCTTCATAATAACCATCAGGGCATTGTTGAAGACAAACCGCTAAATCGATAACTAGCAAATGAGCTGGGGCACAAGTCAGACATGAATCTTGACCTGCTCCTGCACAAGTTTCACATGATTCGTGACAAGGCCAACACACACCGCCTTGATTTACAAAACTCCTCGGTGGACATCTTGAGACACAAGAGTTATCTAAACGATAATGTTTACATGCGACACATTGTGTTGGACCTTTGCCATAACATCCCTGTGAATCACATTCCGGATCACATAATCTTTGTACCTGCTTATCATTGGCGTCCGCTAAGACATTTTTCCTCTGTGCCGAAGGAATGTTCTTGGGATAACTACGTCTATCGGAAATTCCAAGCTCGATCTCATTGAGAAATTGCGAGTATTCGGATGCGTCATAAACATCGTTTATATGATACGTTTTTTCCTCTTGGTACACATTATTTGAATTATAGTAACCCTTATTTCGCAACCGTATAGGATTCGTTGCCGTACCGTAAAAGATCAACTGCCATTTTTTTAGTAATCCTGGCTGGGTAACGTGATTATTTCCAGCGTTTATTATTTGAAGCGTCCATCGACCTTCGGCGTTCTCACCCCAAAAATGTACGCTTAAAAAAGGCCAGTCATCGAAGTTGGAACTAGTTGCGTCATGTGTTCTTTCAAATAAAAGGGTGGACGTAGTCCCCATCGGCGACGTAAGCAGAATCCGTAAATTACCTCTGGGGAAAAAGCTTAGTGAAATTTTACATTGAACGTGTTCCAAAAATCTTACCTCGTTCATTGTACCGCTGCACCCATTTACGTCCATGTGCACTGATATCGTGTAGCCGAAAGACGTCTCGATAGACTTGTCTTCGTTTATTTCTTGCGATTTACAAATGTGTTGCGGCGGAACGGTGGCCCATTGTTCTGCTAATGTGACCATTTGAGCTGCGTCCATTAGTCCGTAGCCAAACTTATGACTGACTTTTCTTTTTACGCCGTTTACAATCCAACCCTCTTCTTTATCTAATGGTTGTGACCTAGATGTTATGACAATTAGATGTTGCATATCTCTCCAAGTTAGTAAAGAATTTGCTTCTAAAGCTAATGCACATATTCCAGCTGCCAATGGAGCCGAAGCGGACGTTCCTGTATGATCGACGGTACATATGTGGTCTGGCCGTAATTGAACATCCATATCTACTGTAGCTACGCTTTTATCGCGCCCTGGTGTTCCAGAACTGTAAGTTGAGGCTAAAGTTGACGAGCATTCTTCCAAATACCAAGGTTTATAACCCCCTTGCGTGGCACTTGATACCGAAATCGTAAATATGCTATTCGCATACCCGTCGCAATTACAAGAGTCAGTGTGTCTCCCACCGTTTCCGGAAGCCCATATAAAAATAGAGCCTTTTCCACCCCTGCCGTTAGTGACTCCGTTAATAAAGGCCCTGAAACAAAGCAGTTTTAATGAGCTTGCCTCTAGCGGCTTTTCGATCGAGTGCAATTAGACAATACCTTCTAGCTAGAGGGCCTGGGCCGTCGACAGTTTTGCCGTCATCCTCAGGGCCCCAGGAGGCGCTGTAGATATCTATGTGGTGGGTGTTGAAGCTGAGAGCTTGCGCCTCCACTGCGTCATTAACTAGGCCGTCTAACATCCTGACGCCCCCGATGCTAGCATTGTACGCGATGCCGACGCCGCAGAATCTATTGTAAGCGACCGCGGCGACCTCGCCGGCGCACCGGGTGCCATGTTTATTGTCGCCATTGTCCTGCGGCGTCGGGTCGGTGTCGTTCCCGTTAATGTCTGTCGACGCTGCCGGGTCCTGAAATACGGCCGTGTTATTCATACCCATTGAACAATTCAATTGATTTTAACAGTTGAAGAAAGGGATCATTGAATATAGTTTTAAATAGGCAGGTTATGAAAATAATATTTTTACTAAACGTTGATTCTGAATTATTTAAATTCTGTGTACCTATATACTGTGGTCAGTAATTATGTTCCCCTCTCGCTCTCATAAACTATATTTACGATACAAAAAAACATTACAACTGTGAGTTATTAAAGACATTAAAAGACAAATCAATTAATTGTATGTGATTCAATTTAATCACTGTAGAACTTTTAAGGATTGGCTAAAGTAATACAAATTACTACAAAGTGTTACTTTGATGGTCTGCGCAGATGAAGGACTTTTGTCCGGGGAGGACAAAAGCTCCTGAATCGTGAAGAAAATCCGAGTACAGACTCAAGGCACATGATGTACGAACATTTGGCCCCCGAAAATTTCAAAAAGCGCACGCTATGAAAGTTAAATATATTCTCAGATTACGTTGTGTTGTTATTAACATTAAGTTTCAGAAGAAAAAGGAAATACTGGGTCCGCGCGCGGTAAAGGAATACGCGCAAGTCGGACTAAAGTAAGCTGTATGCGTTGCTGCGCCTAGTCGCATGAGTTCTGTTTTTTTTTTTCAGGGACACCCGCGTACTTTTGTCCTGTCCGGTCTACGGTGCTATCGGTTGTTTGAGAGACTTTTTGTACATAAAAACTTTAAATTCGGCGTGTGCGAATTGAAAGCGATCTATTTTGGCGGACAACAAATACTGTCCCTCGCCTACGCAGGCTATAAGAATAGCATATTTGATACAATTTCTATCTGGATAATAATTGAATTCTATAGGTACTTACGTAGTTTTGCGCCAAGTCGGGATGGTTTGGCTGGATGCCGTCATCTAGGATGGTTATGACGACACCTTTCCCTGTATAGCCTTTTCTCCAAGCATACCCCACGTTCATATCTAGGCCATCTGCTGCTCCTCCGTTCTATTAAAAAATACGGATAATTTTAAAGGACAATGCTAAAAGACCCCCGGCCCGACCATGACTAAATCAGAGACATTACTTCAATTCTACAATATTTTTTTATTAAATAATACATAAAATCTGAGACAGTTTCGTTTCTGTCGGGCGATGGTTTTTTTTGTGGAAAATTTGCATTCTCCTTTGGGTTGTAAAATATTAAAGTATAAATTTTAAAAGTAAAATATTAATAATTTAGTACATGTGTTTTTTTGTTTCACTTTTCATGAGTTTGATTCCCCGTTGTGGCAGGCGGTTTTTAAAAATCTGTAAATGCAGTTCTACTTATTATTAAAAATAAAATGATATCTTCTTTCAGTAAAATATCCTATCTTCAATATTTAATATACTTTCCCTCAGTGTGGCATGGCCGTGGGACGCCCTGTATAATGGAGTAGTTCTTGTTATGCTAGATTTGCCATGTAAATGGCGACTGGACCACAAGATAGCATTATGATGTTATAACGCAGGCGACTAACATGGCAAATCTCAAAGTAGAGCAGGTAACAACTTAGGCCGTATAAAGCTAAACCGCATAGTGACTTCGAGAGGGAGAGAAATCGACGATTTAAATGGCCAATCCTAGGTAATAACGTTTGCTATTTTATACAAGAACGTAAACCATCTGTTCTACATAATAATAGCACAGAATAGACAAACAATATAATATTTTTTTAAAGTTTGAATAAAAAAAAAGAGTTTTGGAACTCGATGTTGGCTTAAGATAATATAAATTCTATAAAGTGAAAACAATTCGATACGTTTCAAATGATGTAGCGATTATTCTGCGACACTATTTAGATTCCTAAATGCATGCATACTTCTGATTAATTAATAAAAAACATAGTAAAACTCAATGTAAATCAAATTAATTTCTAAATTCTTGAGAATGTTTTTGACATTTTCATTCACAGTGAAAACAATAAAAACTTCCAGCGTATTTTCAGGGACATTTTGAGTGGATTGGTACGGAATGCAATAATTTATATATTTTCGTAATGCATGATGAGGTTATGAAAATTAAAAACTTATCTTTGAGGCTGACCACAAATTTAAGAGATCGGAATGGAACGATAGTCCCAAAGATTTATTGATCTCTGGTTTAAAATTGAACAGAATTGATGTGAGCACCTGTCAAAGAATTTTGACAAAACTTCTCAATCAACCAACTTTTCTGTTAACGCCACAATAACTGTAAAAAACCTTGAGGTGTCAAGAAACTTCTCAAGTCTCAAGAGTCTTGAGACCATTAGCGAATTCAGCAAATATCATGCAAAGATGATCTGCTCATTAGTTAAGAAAAAAAACAACTAATTTATACAATGTTATATAGATAGTTTAACAATGATTACAACAGAAACGCCATGTCTAATTTAGGTAAGATAAAAGGGTAAAATCAAATTGAAAAACATTATCGACTCCAAACATAAAACTGAAGTCGCACACTTATGAAATGTGGACGTTTTAACGTTTTAACGTCCTTGTAAGTACTAAAATATTGATTTACTATTCGAAGCGAACACCATTAATAAATCAAAGTAGAAATATTTCTATCGTGACAATAACGTATCCGGAACCAATCAACAAACTCGGTTAAATCAATTAATTTATCGTGATGGAAACTAATACGGCGGGAGTCGCGGGAGTACTTCAGCGCTTGCGTAATTAATCGAATAATAATTATTCGATTAATGGTTTTATTGTTATCGTTATGCGGCCGTTTGAAATAACCTTTCCCTGATAAGATTTCCAAAGTTTATTTGGTTGGAAGTCCAATAATGTAAAATTATGTGTACATTTAAACATAAATCTTAATTACTAACTTATGTTTAGTAAACGTGATACAGATTAAATATTGTTTTGGAACGAAGTTCCTTTTCGAACGTTTCGGCGGATGGGGGCGAGACGAAAAATTTTTAAGATTTTTCTATCACAACCTAGCGATGCAGCTGGATGGCCAGCTAGGTGGGCGACCCCTGACGGTGGTGGATGTGGACTTTGTTTTAATAGTTTGACGGAGTCGGGGGATCAAGCCATGGGCCTCCGCACTGGGCCGAATCAATAACCTAACTCCTATCTGTACTGTATTATCCTAACCACCAATACAGATTGGGCAATCTTGTGTAATAGTGGTGATAATGTTTTTATGGAATAGGGAGATTGGGCCATGACTCGCCACGTGTGCCCAATGCGGATTGGAGATTGGTAGGTATATGAATATTTTTACCTTCGTTCCAAGCCAGTGTTTTAAGACACTCACGCATTTTTAGGGTTCCGTACCTTAAAACGATAAAACGGAATCCTTATAGGATCACTTTGTTGTCCGCACGTCCGTCCGTCTGTCAAGACCGTTTTTCTCAGGAACGCGTGGAGGATCAAACTGAAATTCATATCTAATACTCATGTCTACTGTCCCTTGGAGCTGTGAAAAAAATCAAACTTCTAAGCCAAAGTAATCAAAAGATACAGCCGTTTATGCTGCAAATTTTCGAAACTCGCACGGGAAGCAAAACCTACAGGGTACTTCCCGTGAATTTAGAATATTGACATTTGGTACGAAGTAACGTCTTATAGTACAGATAAAGGAAAAATTGCGAAATCCGTAATGATAAAAAATATTCTTGAAAATTTTAAAGTTACTAAGTACCTCTTTTCTCATGAACGCGTAGAGGTATTAAATTGAGTTTGTACGGAACCCTCGGTGCGCTAGTCTGAATCGCATCTGGCCGGTTTTTTTTAATTAATTGCAACAAATTACAGTTGCTTATCTTTTAAAAGGCGTAGAACGAACTTAGTTGATATTCTCGGTTCGAATTGGAGCGCCCGTGTGGATAAGTACAACCCCCATCTTTCAGAAAACACAGCGAAATAACGTTAGCTTTTTAAGGTGTTATGTTTCTATCGGTGAGTCTGTTCCAGGGCTCTACGGGGTTGGGGCACCGGATCGGGTCAAGGTCAGCAAGAGTAATACTTTCATTGAGCAAACGTTTTTGGTTGATTTTTACAAATGTGATACTTTCGTTAGAAGCAGGAAATAATATAGGTAGATAGTATCATCATCATCATCAACAGCCTATCCTAGTCCACTGCTGGACATAAGCCTCTCCGATTGCACGCCACTCAGATCGATCTTGGGCTACTCGTATCCAGCTCCTGCCAGCCACCTTGCGCAAATCGTCACTCCATCGCGCCTGAGGACGTTCTACACTACGTTTGCCTAGACGCGGTCTCCACTCCAGAACTCGTCTACCCCAACGGTTATCGGTTCTTCGGCAAATATGGCAGACCACATATGGTAGTTAGTATACGTTTTTAGAATGATTTTTACAAATGTGATTCTTTCGTTAGATCTATGAAACAGTATAGGTAGTACATCCCAAACTTACATGCAATCTGTGAATGTAGGTTTGATACAATTCAGAATTCTGGTCTGAACCTAAATATTCTTCCTGGGGAAAATCTGACAACCATTCTCATCACACAAGCCATTTGTTGTAAAATGACAATAAAGAGTAAATAAATAAATAAGTTCGTGAATGATGCTACAAGTTTCTTCAACAGATAAAGCGAGTTAAATTAGTAAGTGGGAGCGCGTGACGTCACTTTGAAGTAAAAATTGCACCAAGACGTGACGACATGAAACTATTTCACTATATCTCTGTAATGTTTTAAGTATGTTATTTCTTGATAATCTACCCGATAGACGAAGAAAAAAGGTATGAAATTATCGTAAACTTAAATAAAATAAGTTTCAACGGGTCAGAGCACTGATTTAATTATTTATTGACGTTTCGTACCCTTTACGGGAGTGCGTCGTCAGAATAAAATTATTCTTTCATTTAATGAGTGATGTGCGTGAAAACCTAAGAAACCAATTTAATCATAAAATTATCATCAATTGCAACTTTAAAGGGTATAAAATACCTTCACCGGTATCATGGAATAGATGCGTTAAAATTTCACCGCGATTTTCTCAGAGCTGAAAATGCTTAAGCGATGCTTCGAGGAGCTCTCGGCGAATGATACGTCTCATAAAAAACCGAATCTACAGCCGAGAAGTAGGAACCTTTTAGTGTGAATCAAAATCTATATAATAAAGGTATAAAAAGGAACTCGAATTTCAAATTTTATGGGAAGCTCTTACGATTGGAAGGATAAAGTTCAATTTTTACTAGATTAGGTACCTGGTTTATATATTTGTAATAAGGAATATTTGAGTAATTGCGAATAGTAAAAAAATAATCTTGTGATTATCTCACTGGATTTTAGAGTACTATCTATACTGTTGCCGTTATATCGATAGTCTAACCAACAAAACTAATTCAAATAAGTTTATTCAATGCTAGAGGTACCCTGCGGTTTTACATGCATTATATTTGAGGAAAAAGGTTATAGGATTACCCTTAAAAGATAGACATATGCTGTCGCGGACTTTTTTATAGAAACTTTTGAAGGGGAACATTTCCTTCATACATGATATTTAATAATAATAATAATCTCTATTGACATACACCTCACAGGACATACCAGAGACTTTATTGCTAAACAGCAATCTCTTCCAGGTACCCATGCTAATGAAATAAATAAAAAGAGGAACAAGAAGGGTGGTGTAACAGGTATGGTAAAATAATTAATGATTAATAAATGCAATAGATATATCAAAAGAGAGAGACGAGAGAGAGGTAAGGTTTTATTGGTAAAGGAAATAACCTCTAACTTGATTACTAAACGAGCTTTTAATTAAGCTTAATCCGAGCTATTAGATGCTAGAGGTACCCTGCGGTTTTACATGCATTATATTTGAGGAAAAAGGTTATAGGATTACCCTTAAAAGATAGACATATGCTGTCGCGGACTTTTTTATAGAAACTTTTGATGGGGAACATTTCCTTCATACATGATATTTAATAATAATAATAATAATCTTTATTGACATACACCTCACAGGACACACCAGACTTTATTGCTAAACAGCAATTTCTTCCAGGTACCCATGCCAATGAAATAAATAAAAAGAGGAACAAGAAGGGTGGTGTAACAGGTATGGTAAAATAATTAATGATTAATAAATGCAATAGACATATCAAAAGAGAGAGACGAGAGAGTGGTAAGATTTTATTGGTAAAGAAAATAACCTCTAACTTGATTACTAAACGAACTTAGAATGCAAGCCTTTCGGATTGTTTCAAGTAGTGAGTTCCACAAGCGAACAGAATGCACAGAGAAGGAATATGAAAAGAAATCAGATGAATGAAGTGAGACTGCAAGGGTTAGATTCGAAGAAGACCGCAAAATGCGTTCTGATTTAGAATCAAGAAAAGAGATATCTGTGTAACTTTAACCGTTTTCGCAGTGCCCGCAACGGAAGATCACAAATGGAATATTTTTTCCCAGTTTTGCAACATTTTTAGTATCCCATTATTAGTATCCTTATGTTATGTAGCCTTTGACCTTCCTTGATAAAAAAGCCAACACATAAGATTTTCAAATCGGTCTAATAATTCCTGAGCTAATTGCGTTCAACCAAACAAACAAACCTAGAGTAGGTTTGTTTGTCAGCTTCATACCATTGAAATAGATATGGTGATTAAAATATATTATTTGGTCTAAGGTTATCCTGAAGTAACGACTCTTAGCAGTCACGCCGCTGATTTTGAAACGTTGTGTTAAATTTTGTAACATCTTTGTGTTGTTATGTGGCGTTGTAATGAGTTGACTGCCAATACGATTCTTATAATTTCATAAAACAGTACAAATTTTGAGGAGGAATGAGCATCTAATCTACCTGTTATGGAAAAAGCATTTAACTTTTTGTTTTCTTAATATAACAATCTTTTTTTTTTAATTTCTCTTGCCCCGTACAGCCAATAAACACACCAAAGGAAGTTCTCAAAAGAAAACTTTGAGTGCGCCCCCAAGCACCTCTTAGGAGCAACTCAATTATAGGTAACATCTGGTTAGGAGCTTCCTTTTAATTGCGCCCACTTAAGCTCTCCAATTTTACTTAATACAAGATTAAGTTCTAAAGTTTTCGCCCTTGAAATTCGTTATTAAAATATCAGTTGCGTTATTTTATAGCAACTTATTATGTCATCCATTTAATAAACATCTGCTATTAGAACAAAAGGATTTTGGTTCTAGTTATTTTATAATATTGTTTAAAGTTGAATTATATTTGTTTTATATGGCTCAGGCTTTGAAAAGTATCTTCCATTTAGTCGTATTTATTTTGTTACTTTTAGCAAATGTATATTTTTCTCTTATATTTGATTTGATATTTTCATTTTCAATTACTATTTGATTGATTAAAATATATTAATGTAGGTATTTATCAAGAGTCAATTTTCCAATGAAAATGTAAAATTTCCCTCAATTCTCAGTAACAGTTTGTATCGATACTCAGAAAGTCTTGACCGAAAATTACTTTTCATTTTTCTCGCTTAACTAAAAAACGTTTCTCGAGCAATTATGGCGTCTTACAGGCAGGTGATATCACACGGCTCTCATTCAAACATTCACACAGTCGAAAGTAATGTCACTTCGCCAGTAGTTTACAAGCAGGTGACGTCATTCTAGGCTCCGCCAATCCTAGGTGTTTTCGGTCACGTGAAGATAGACCAAAAAATACTTTTCTCTCTTATGATTTTCAGTAATATACTTTCTTTTCATTTTTTCCTTTTCCTATATACACATGTCAATAATTGTTACTTTATTTTTTAACTGTCAAATAGACTTTTGTGAAAATAGCAGATAAGATTGAAAATTAAGCTCTCATGGAGCTTTAAAAAATTCTAATTTTGTGCTTCAAATGATTTTTAGTGTTCACTAAGTGTATAGAAAGGTATATTTATTCATATACTTACCAAATACCACTGCTCTTTGAACAGTGGGTCTGGGAATGAAGGAGTGCTGGACTGCCTCATAACATGCCGCGGCTTCCACCGGTGGTCCCTTTTAGTTCTTCTTAACTCCTTCTGCTGCATAACCCATCTCGCCTAGAACAATATTAAGTTATATTAGAATTAAAGCTTGGTTAACATCTCTTAATGTTACGCGTTGCGATTTTTGTATTCCATACGCTAATGCGCATTAGGCAATACTATATGTATTTGTATTAATACTGTGTGACACAGCAATCAAAATGCAGGTGAACAATTAATGCATAATTTCACATTATGTAATGAAAGGTGACTTCATGAATCATCTCTGAATTAATTTTTAACTTGACGACTCTGTAAATGATAAAACAGGAAGAAAAAAAACAGCCCTTGCTGAGTTTCTTGCCGGTTTTTCTCAGTACAAGGTCTCCCGCCGTAGATTTACGAACCGATGGTGTAGCTTCTAGACATTCATATGTGCTTGTAACAGCCCAAACTGAATAAATGATTATGATTATGATTATAATATTAATGAATTCGGAACAATTCACGACAATTATTTAGTACCGAACTTAACAAATCAATCGATATAAAATATTCTTAGTAAATAATTTATTACTTCATTTCATCATCAGATGACTACTAATTAACTGATATGTAACTCCAACCATGTGCTGAAGCTAAGATTTTTCTTTTTAATAGAAAGGAGTATTTACCGTAACGACTTAAACTACTACGTGGGCACAGATTTGTTTTTGATAACTACTGCTAATTCAGCCAGATAAACCTGCCCCTTAGAATCAAGGAGAGTTTGGTAATTCAACCGGTGACAAATTTTGGCGACAGATGTGCTTAACCTCTGTAATCGGAGGGCGATCCCGTAGAACGACCCGGCTATGGCCATGCTGCTAATAGTAGCAGCTTAACGTGCCGCGACAAGCGATGAGAACAAATGTATGTACAAAAATATTCTCTCCGAAATGCTACCCTCAATAGGTAAAAATTTAAAACTCAAAACTCAAACTCATTTATTCAGTCTAGGCTGTTACAAGTAACAAGCTCTTGTGAAAGTCAAACGCTACGCTATCGCTATTCGTAAATCTACGGCGGGAGACCTTATACTGTGAAGAACCGGCAAGCAACGCAGCAAGGGCTATTTTTTCTCCCTGTTTTGTTTCATACAGTGTCGTCAATTGAAAGATGACATCAAAAATTGAAAACATGGGTTGATGTCAACTTCCATCACATTTATATTATTAATTAACATAAGTTAGGTATAACTAGGTACTATTATTAAATTTAGAAGTGGCGATTTAACAATTTTCAACCAAATTAGCAAAATAAAACGACTTAGTCTATTGTATTAAGCCCAAGGTGACTTATCATTTATGAAATCTTTAACAGCATAGTAACCTTTCTTAAGGAGACATGTTTTTATACACACTTTAAACTTATTAAAAGGGAAATTAATTATTTCTTTTGTAATTTTATTATAGTAACATATACCTTGACCCACAAATGAACCAAGAACCTTTTGGAGTCTCAACGGTGGCAATTGAGTTTAAAGTAAATTTAATTTTAAACGTCAAATGAATGGTGATATCATGATTCAGTGTGACGCAAACAGCGGCGGCTATAAAGCAAAATGGTTCAGAGGACTTTGTCACTGTTTTATAATTTCCTGCCGCTAATGATTCTGATTGGTAAGAAATCACACTACTTATCGTCCCACCAACCGCTTAGGCAATAAAACTAGCCGAACAGTAAAACTTCTCTAAAGCACTATTTGAATGATGTACACTCTGATAGTATAGTTTACCCCCTTAATTTGTAAAGGGATACGGGTACAATTAAAGTCGACACTATGAATAGTTCGACCTACATCCATTTCAATGAAATTGGATCCAGATTTAAGTTACAAGGATATTCGGTGACGATCTACAATTGCCGCATATTAAACCAGAATCGGACCAATAGCAATCCAAGTCGAACATTTGACAAAATTGAATAATTTTCTCGTTATAATAATTGACTACTTTTCTGAAAGACTGTTTGATATATTTGGGTTATGCGTGAATTGCGTGACCCATTATGAAGTAATAGCTTAGCCTTTCCATCAGGGGAGATTAAAGTTAAAACACCCGAATTACTGAATAAAAATGATTATCGGATAAGGGTAACGTCTCTTGAAACGTAATAATAGAACTAGGGCGTACTAATGACCCGATATTACATAAATAAATATAACGCTACACACTATCATCACCTTTTTATTTTCATTACCCATTAGTTAGCGAAAACCTCTTGAAGTATATATAGTAGATATGAATCTGTAGTAAGATTATCGACATCATTTATCATATGTAATTTTCTTTTTCTGCTCCACGTTATTGTAGTGTAACCTTTCTTTGAAAATCGTCATCCATTTCTGTTCCCGGAGTAACTGCTCAAGTAAAACAACGAACAAACATTATAGCAGTGCTTATGCTCAAAGGTGAATGACTGACTGACATAGTGATCTATCAACGCACAGCCCAAACCACTGGACGGACGAACGAAATTTGGCACGCATGTAGATGTTATGATGTAGGCATCCGCTAGAAAGGATTTTGATCAATTCTCCCCCCAAGGGGATAAAATAGGGAATCAAAGTTTGTACGAAACTTTGTCAATTTTAAACCGATCGCGCTGAGACTTTGCATGCAGGTATAAGAAGAATCATAGATGAATGTCATTGTGTATAATACGAGTACAAGCCTGAGAACAAAAACTGTAGTCTACACTTCAGCTCTACACCGAAGCGAAGCGAGGGCGGGCCGCTAGTTGACTTAATAATGCTATTACATATTGCTAGCAATGTAATGTTGAAATCCCCAATCAATAACCGAAGAATAGCAAGTGTATTATCTTATTTTATCGAATTACCAATGTCTTTTGTGTGAAGTGTGAAACTATTCGCGGAAACGAATTATATCTACTCAGTTAAGTTAATTCACGTTAACGGGTTAGCAGAACTCTTTCTATACTAAACAATCGCTTTAAATGTACAAAAACAGGCAGCGACAAGACAGACAGCGTAGTTACTCAGACTAATATCAGCATCTTTTCTCGTGTGAGTCCGTATTAAAACCTTGTCTTTTTGCAGTAAGTAAAACTTCTTTTCGAATAAGGTGTAAATGGAAAAATCCTATGGAAAAGATGAAACAAAAATGCGTCCCGAGCGTCACACGATATTTATGTGTGTGTGTTTGTGTGTGGGATGCGTGCGCAGCTCTTCCCGACAAGCATGAAAGTCGGAGGGTAACTCGGCAAAGGCTCAAACGCTGTCTCTGTCTGTGGTGCTGTTTCAGCGGCCAAACCGTAAGAGATAGATAAAGAGAATATTTAAGTTATAAGTTAAGAATAGTCTGATAAGACTACAAACCGGATTTAAGTAACGTAGCACTTCCGGTTTTCGAGAAATCACGAATTTCAAACGAAACCATACAAAATCTCCGAAGTTCTCAATTAATTAAATACATTTTTTTTCTTTTTTTTAAATCAGGTTTTGGTGAACATTTGGTTCACTGGTTTGCTAGTATATATATTATTCTGAGTGATGCGTGCGCTACTCCATTCCCCTATGCTTTATGTTATGCACTGTCTTATGTTAGGTTATTTAAGAAAATAATGTTCAGTTCAGGTGTGTGGTCCTGGCAGACCATTTTTTTTGTTATGGTGGCAAATAAACGTATGGCCCGCCTGATGGTAAGCAGCCATCATAGCCTATAGACGCTTCATCATCATCATCAGCCTATTAATTTCCTCACTGCTGGGGCACAGGCCTTTCTATGGATGGCATAGGGAGATTGGGCAATGACCCACCACGCGGGTCCAGTGCGGATTGGCGGGTGCTAACGACTGCAGATGTAGCCGGGACCAACGGCTCAACGTGCCTTCCGAAGCACGGAGGAACTCGAGATAGAAGATTTTTGACCGACCACTGCGAAAGTTGCTTAACTTCAACGATCGCAGCCGAACGCGCTAACCACCTGCGCCATCGAGCTCCTCAAATAACACTCGCATCTTGCCTACCCTGACCCAATCCTCTACCCCGCGGAGGCCTGGAACCTTACGGCTACTAAAAAACAAAACACAGTGAGCTACATTTACAAAATTTTACAGGACGAGCAGAAATGTGTCTTGGCTGTCTTCAGCATATTTAAAACGAAGTGTAATAATACAGTGATATAAACTAATCAAAGCATAATTTATTGCCTGTTTTTTTTATTTTTTAACATAATTTATTTAAAACGCTTTGGAGTTAAAAAGAATACAAAATAGACCATTTTTCGACCTATTAAGGAACAAATCCTTGTTCTTTCTGATTAGTACCGGATTGCAAAGTAACCGTTACTAGGTTTTGGTTTTTTTTTAATAGATTTTATTTATCATTCAATTTTACACTAAGTAACTTGCAGCTTACATATGCGGACACTTTAAGTGTCCCTTTTAATTTTATCATCGTATTTACTGTTAATTGAGCGATTTTTTGTTCTGTGCTGTTACTGTATCATATTAACATTTTTACATCCTTCCTTTTATCTGGCTGGACAACCGGTGTTTTGACAGAATCATAAACAGAAGATTTTAAATTGTAACAACATGCTGACAAAGTTTCATGCTTATATTGGATTAATGTAGCAAATTTTAACGACACACAAGAAACTAATGAAAAAAAAATAAGCAAGTACCATTTATATAGCACCATATTTATCGAACTGAACGAATAAGTATATACTAAAAAGAAACAAATTTAATTTAAAATAAATTACAAAAAACTAGTGAGGTCCACTACTTCGTCTCCTTTAGGGTGTTTATAGAATAAAATGTCCTTTACGGTGTCTCAAACTATGTTTATACCAAATATCAGTAGTTCAGTATTTGGTAGTTTTGTAGAATGCAGTATGTGCCGGTTCGAAACAAAAACACAACGTGCTCGCGGCAAATCACACGGCAAATTAAGCGCGCTGGGGCTTACCGCGGGTGTCCGTTCGCATTTCTTTTGAATATGTGAGTGTTACCATGTAACGGTCGCGCAATTTCGGCGGCAAAACCAAATCAAAAACCAAATATGT